GTGTAGAGATCTCAAAAGAAGTGACTTCTAGGTGGGGATTAGGAGATGTAACTCACCGGTAGGATAAAGGCAGGAGTAGCCAGAGAACTAAAGCATGAGCAAAGGCCTGTGCGTGTAAGCAATGACCTGTTCAGTCCAGCACACGGTGCAGAGATGCGGCTAGAATAGGTCAAGAGCAGGCTTTACCATCACGGCAATGCCAAGAACAACGTGATCAAATCTGGGTTTACAAAAATAACTCAGCTACATCCTGGAGAACAAAATACATAAGAGACTGAAAATGGGAAATCTTTTATGAAACCATTAGTGCAGCCTGAACTGGGACAGGGTCGGGTGATAGGGAAGGAGTGAAGGTGGACAGGGACTCGGAGGGAGAATGAAAGGCACTTGCTGGCAACCTGGACAGAGAGCTTTTGAAGGAAGTGGGGGTGACTCCGTATTCTAGAACTGAGTAAGAAAAACAGGAAAAGAGGCAAGTTGGGGAAGAAAGATAATGAGTTGGGTGCTATAAATATTAAATTTGGGTTTGTCTACAGGAAGAAAGTCAAGTGGGAGTTTGAAGTACATTTCTGGTGCTCAGGATAAACTCATTCAGGGTGTTGGGGAAATGGGAAAGTGGGGAAAATGGGGAGAAAGGGTAAAATTTTTTAAAAAGGGAAAGAAAACAAAGAACCCTTGCATATCTTCACAGTCCAGTTATTTCCAGAACTGGACAGTTAGCATCCCAAAATGATTCTTCTATAGCAACAAAACTGGCTCACCACTGTGTCAGTACGCCTTAATGCTCATTCCTAACTTTTTCTTTCCTCTATTAAGCATACGTCAAGCATTCACTATGTGTCAAGCACTGTTCAAGATCTGAAAGATACAAATGCAAAATATAATTTCAGTAAATTAATGCAAACGGGTAAAAGCAGATAACAGACTCCATATGGAAAAGAGAAGAGAGGGTATTTATTTAAAATCAAGAAATAATGGGCTCTCCTATAATGAGATTGATGACTACCTTAAATGTCATCCTAGAGTCTTCACCCAATAGCTGATGGAAGCAGAAATTCAAAGCTAAGCACTGAGCCGAACTCCTGGAATCCAGTTGCAGAGAGGGAGAAGTGATAAGCAAAGGGGTGAAGACCATGCTGGGGAAACCCACAGAAATAACTGACCTGAGCAAGTGGGAGCTCATGGACCCCAGTCTGACAGATGGGGAACCAACATAGGACCGAATCAAGCCCCCTGAATATAGGTGTCAGTTGGGAGGCCTGGGCAGTCTATGGGGCCTCTGGCAGTGGAATCAGTATTTATTCCTAGTGCAACTAATGGGCTTTGGGAGTGGATGGAGAGTGGGATGGGGGTTGGTAGGGGGCGGAGTGGGAGGATGGCAGGGAGAGGGAACTGGTATTGGTATGTAAATAAGATTGTTTTCTAATTTAAATAAAAATTTATTTTAAAAAAGTAGTGGGAAAGGAAGGCATTTTCTACTTTTTGCATGAAGATCTAATGTGACGGAGCAAGCCACGTGAAAATCCACAGAAAGAGCACAGGGAAGAGCAAGCGTGAAGACTCTGAAACAGAAAATAGTTTGGCGGGTTGATATAATGATCCTACCTGGCTTCAATAGGATGAATGGCCACAGTTTATCTTCTGTCGTTTCCACATTAGTTTTTTTTTTATTTTGCATGTTAACTAAAAGCATTGAAATTTTTCAACAGATTCTGAATTCTAGGGAAGCGGAATTCACAATAAGGGAAAGATCTACATTTAAGTTCATAAGGCACAATACCTAGTATCTGGGTGAGTATTCTTTCTGCGTTCTCTTATCTATGAATGTGGATTAGAATATTTCCTAATCCTTTCACATTCTCAAACACTGCAGAGCTACTCCCAGATGTTGCCTCCCATCTGGTGAGCAAATAGAGACTTATTTCAAGTCCCGCTGTGGTCAGTCAGAAGCCAAGACTATGCATAGAACAAAATAGAAAGGCCAAATGCCAAGAGTCACTTGCTACTTGCAAACCTGATGGCTTTACTTATATTTGAATATTGAAGACTGCAAGACCCAGCAATCCTGAACAGGCTCCGAGAAGCTGTTTGCTTTGCCACAGTTCTACATCTAAACATTATAATAATATTATTATTATCCCACAGGGGTGTCATGAGGATTAATGAGACATTATCAAATCACTTTGAGCTACTCCCCTGGGGGTACTTAATAAATGGTATGTGTTCCCCCTGAAGTGCCACTTTTGACATTGATTTGTTGCAACGGGTTCTGCTGTCCAACAGGGCTCGAAAGCACCCACCACCTCATTTCCCATAGGCGGCCGAGTAGCCATCAAAAGGCAGTGGTTTTTTTTTTTTGGTTAAAATAAACATGAATTGAAAGTGAACAGTCAGCAATCAGAAGCAAATAGGCAGCTCTTAGAACTCCAGTATTTATTAAGTGCTCAGTGATCAGCATGTGAGTTTCCCAGTGTGATAAAATACTGCAAACAATGGCTTTGGAAATAATCCAAGATTTTAGGACCAGCTCTGTCACTAACTAGTTATGCAAACTGAACGAATTGCTAAATTTCCTGGGGGTCTCAAATACAGAATAAGAGCCATAACAAACCCATCATCAGAGTCTCCTCCAGACAAGGCAAAGTGGAAATCGTCATTTCTGAAAGCAGGACACTTCACAGCACAGAGAAACTTGGGACCATCCATCACAGGACCATCCTCTGCTTTAGTCTCCTTTGCCATTGATTAATATTAATTTCAGTATTAATTCCTGCAAAAGGAAGAATAAATCACCTTCTAAGTCAGACTTGGAAGTGCATGAAACATTCGGTCTTTAAAAATAGGGTCTTTGCCTTTCAGTGAGCTATCCTTCAGCATTCAGTCTTCCCCATTCTTAGATTTGATATACATACATGAATAGCTGCTCAATTGCTCTGCTAATGACCAGCTAACACAGTGCATGTAAAATAATGAGGCGACCATCACACAACAAATGACTCTGAAGTTGTGTGTCTAAAATGGTCTTATAGTGTTGCCCAGTTCTTTCATCTGACGATACACTTAACTCTGCAGTGACCAGCACTGGGCTGGATGTAAAGCTGAAGATAAAGAATGATAAAGAATCTGGTGCTTGTTACACCCTGGCAAGTGCTGGCTGTAGAAACCTGTAGGGTGACTATACTACCGGCTCAGTTTCCCCTCACTCCTGTGTAACACGAATAAATAAGGTACCCAGAGACTCAGGCTGAAAGGGCTGCTCCATGCACGATCTCTTCACCAACTCTCAAACTGCCACCTCTCCTCAGTGTAGCTGGAGAACAATGTCTATCTGAGACCTTGCTTCTGTCTTACATACTTCCTTAATGTTGGGATTAAAGGTGTGAGCTATAATTCTCTTTTAGACAGATTCACTCTTGTATAGATCTGGGTGGCCTTGGACTCACAAAGATCGGTCCATCTCTTCATCCTGAGTCCTAGGATTAAAGGTGTGTACCACCACCTCCTAGCTTCTGACTGCTAGGATTAAAGGTATGTGCCTGACTTCTATGGTTTGTGGCTGATTTTGCTTTCTGAATCCTCTGGCAAGCTTTAATAAATCATAAACAATTATCACCACACTCCTCATCACAGGTATCACAGTGTGGTACTGAACTCAACAGAAAAAAGTGTCTGCCTGGAGCAGATAGAAATAAATACAAAGCATCAATTGTCGGGGAATTCAACTCAACTGTTGACTTCCCATGATTCCCAAGGTGCTTTGAAGGGTGCTAAGAACAGAAGTTGGGCAAGCCCGTTCTATCACTGAGTTTGGGAGAGGTGATAGCAAAGAATGACGACAAATCACTCTTACATCAAATTGAATCATCAGCTCACTTCCAGGGATAAGTAGATGTCTAGATGTCAATTCCTCTTTTGCAAATAATTGCAATGATTCAAAATAGAATTTTGTAACTCTAGTGCTTATACTTGGGGTAGCTAAAATGTCTGAGAACAAAAGTTAGGCTTAAAGCAATCACAACAATTTGGAGAAAGTTTAAGGAAGGGTAAATGTTTTCTCTAGACCCAAATCAAGCAACAGGGGCACAAGCGGCAAAATGAAGGCTTTCCCACCTTAGCAGCTAAAACAAGTTCCCCACCACAAGGGCAGGTGGCATTGTATTAAATAAAATCTAGGTTCCGGCCTGCTTATATCTGTCCAACAGCAGCCAAATAATTGAGTTATCTAACCACACAGATGAGGTGTGGTGGATTTTCTTTAACATTCTCTTTCTTATTTTCCTACTGAAAGTAAATCAGACTGCCTTCACTAATCTCAACCTGGAACTTTGTCCTGATTCTGTCCAGGGTGAACTAGCCATTACAAAAGTGAAGTCTCTGAATGCCTTTAAGGACCTTTTCTTTAGACCCCTGTGAAGACTTCAGACCCTATGCAACCATTAATTCAGTTGGGCTTCCTGTCCAAACACAGTCCTTCACAGCACCTACACACCGGGTTCTAGCAATCTTCTACCCTCCAAAATCCGGATGCTGGCCCCAGACTCGCCTCTTGCCCATGCTAACCACTTAGCCTTCACCCTCTCCTCCCACAACATTCTGGGTCAGGAAGCCTGGTACCTTCCTCCTTTGTCTGCTATCTAAAGCTCTTGGAACTTGCCCTTCCTCCTGCCCAGCAAAGTGTGAAGGGCCAGGAGGCCTGAATCCGAGGTGTAGTCCTTGAACAGATCTAACAAGCCTGAGATTGGGACTCGGCCACGCGCAGGACGGGAATGCACGCTATCCAAAAGCAAGTGGAGCCCAGAAATGAGGCCAGGCGGCTGGGTTCCTCTAGGGCCGGTCTGGCTGGGTAGAGGTCCGGTAGGGTCTGGGGAAGAGGGTGCAAATTGGAATAGATCCAGTGACAAAGAACCGCAAGGAGCGCGGCCGGGAAGCGGGAAGCGGGGCGTGCGCGCGCGCGGTGGGCGGGAAACCCGGGGGCGGCGGCGAGGCGGGCGCGCGCCCCCGCGGGGAGGGGTGCGGAGGAGGGAGGAGGCGTCTGGACCTTGCAGCCCCGCGCGCCGAGCCAGCTCCAGACAGAGCATCTCTGCAGCCGCAGCAACAGGCGGCGGGCCGGGCTCGCGGGGCGGAGGCGGCGGTGGGGCGGGGAGCTCGAGGAGGAGCGACTCGAGGCCGGCCACCTCCTGCAAGGAAGAAGAGCACCGCCGCCTCCCGCGCTCGGCCGCCGCAGCCCTCCGCCCGCCACCGCGCCCACCCTGCGCAGGACCCCGCGAGCGGCGGCGCGCGCACTCTGCAGAGCCCCGGCCGCGCCGAGCTGCCGCCAGACATGACCGTGGTGCCCGGGGACCACCTGCTGGAGCCAGAGGCGGCGGGTGGCGGCGGTGGGGACCCGCCTCAGGGAGGCTGTGGTGGTGGTGGTGGTGGTGGCGGCGGCGGCGGCGGTGGCTGCGACCGCTACGAGCCGCTGCCGCCCGCGTTGCCCGCCGCGGGCGAGCAGGACTGCTGCGGGGAGCGCGTGGTCATCAACATCTCGGGGCTGCGCTTTGAGACGCAGCTCAAGACCCTCTGCCAGTTCCCCGAGACGCTGCTGGGCGACCCCAAGCGGCGCATGCGGTACTTCGACCCGCTCCGCAATGAGTACTTCTTCGACCGCAACCGACCCAGCTTCGACGCCATCCTCTACTACTACCAGTCCGGGGGCCGCATCCGCCGGCCGGTCAACGTGCCCATCGACATCTTCTCCGAGGAGATCCGCTTCTACCAGCTGGGCGAGGAAGCCATGGAGAAGTTCCGTGAGGACGAGGGCTTCCTGAGGGAGGAGGAGCGGCCTCTGCCCCGCCGAGACTTCCAGCGCCAGGTGTGGCTGCTCTTCGAATACCCTGAGAGCTCGGGGCCGGCCCGGGGCATTGCCATCGTGTCGGTGCTGGTCATCCTCATCTCCATTGTCATCTTCTGCCTGGAGACCCTGCCCGAGTTCCGCGACGAGAAAGACTACCCCGCCTCCCCGTCGCAGGAGGTGTTCGAGGCCACCGGCAACAGCACGTCGGGGGCCGCCTCTGGAGCCTCCAGCTTTTCGGACCCCTTCTTCGTGGTGGAAACCCTGTGCATCATCTGGTTCTCCTTTGAGCTGCTAGTGCGGTTCTTCGCTTGCCCCAGTAAAGCCACCTTCTCCAGAAATATCATGAACCTCATAGACATTGTGGCCATCATCCCTTATTTCATCACTCTGGGCACTGAGCTGGCTGAGCGGCAGGGTAATGGGCAGCAGGCCATGTCTCTGGCCATCCTGAGGGTCATCCGCTTAGTAAGGGTCTTCCGCATCTTCAAGCTCTCCCGCCACTCTAAGGGGCTGCAGATCCTGGGGCAGACACTGAAGGCTTCCATGCGAGAGCTGGGGCTGCTCATCTTCTTCCTCTTTATAGGGGTCATCCTTTTCTCCAGTGCCGTCTACTTTGCTGAGGCAGACGACCCTTCTTCGGGTTTTAACAGTATCCCGGATGCCTTCTGGTGGGCAGTGGTAACCATGACAACTGTCGGTTACGGGGATATGCACCCAGTGACCATAGGAGGCAAGATTGTGGGCTCTCTTTGTGCCATCGCAGGTGTCTTGACCATTGCATTGCCAGTTCCTGTAATTGTTTCCAACTTCAATTACTTCTACCACCGGGAGACAGAAGGGGAAGAGCAAGCCCAGTACATGCACGTGGGAAGTTGCCAGCACCTCTCCTCTTCGGCTGAGGAGCTCCGAAAAGCCCGGAGTAACTCCACCCTGAGTAAGTCGGAGTATATGGTGATCGAAGAGGGGGGTATGAACCACAGCGCTTTCCCCCAGACCCCTTTCAAAACGGGCAACTCCACTGCCACTTGCACCACGAACAATAATCCCAACTCCTGTGTCAACATTAAAAAGATATTCACTGATGTCTAATATACGATGCAATTGGCATACTATGCCCAGTGTTATGTGGAACGTGCCCCCTTGGTCTGTGTATGCCCTTGATTTATACATTTCCAGACCATTCATCAAGGAACGGACGTGAAGAAGTGGAAAAGCACACTTCATCCTCCCTCTCCCTATTGCTTCATACTGAAACAGGTGCCTGTTCTGCAAGTGGGCTGCATTCTCTCAGCTCTTTTCTCCCCCCCCCTCCGTCTTTTTTTAATTTTGTGACCAACTAGCTTACATTAAAGCTTGGTTTCTAGTGCACGCCCTATGAAAAACTGCATCCTGGGAGGAAATGAAACTAAAGCGTCGGAGTAACTGTTTAACCTCAAAATCAAAAGAGAGTTGCTTCTTTACTAAGTAAAGGAGACAGAACTTAAATGATGCCCCTGTTTGGTGGACCTTTCATTGTTATTTGATTATTTAGTTTAATTAACCCAGCCTTTGGATATGTAGACAGAAAGTCTAAAGCAGTGACTTATAAACCCATCATGAATTTATTTTGTTTTTGACTGGCCTTTCAGTTTGAATCTCCCCTCTAAGAATTTGAGGTTCACAATAACTTTGAACCAAAAGGGAAATGGCCCAAATGCCCTGATCTGACTATTAACCCTTTGGAGTTTGCAAAGAATTTTGAAAGTATTACACACGAATTCCAGTGAAGTTGTGAGTACATGCCCAGCCAACATCCACGAAAGTCTAGAAACTTGTTTTCAGTGCTGCCAAGAGAAACAACAAAAATTCCTAGTGCATGTGAGAGATAAGCTTATGCGGTGTCACAAGAAGATTAAAGTGGCAGACACCCCTTCCAGCGGAAGTTACTAATTCGGACCTGACTGATGCAGTTCCCATAGCAACCCATGTTTCCTGGGAAACCCGAAAAAGGTTGTCATGGCATCTTTTGCTCTTTAGCCCCACCCACCTCAGGCCTTGCTGTTTCCACAGTAACCTTTCCAGATGGTTCCTACTTACATGATTTCATAAGAAAAAACACTATTTCAATAAATGGCATAAATTAAGTGTATGATGACAAAGAGGTGAAATTAATCACAAAATGCTTTTTACATTTTATATAAATCATTGATGTTATCCCATAATGACTGAATCAAAAAGGAAAATGTCATCTTTTACACGTTACACGTGAGCCACAATAAGGCAGGATCTGAATTAAATGTCAGTTATTTGGTAACAATTTTTAAAGATGCTTCTGTGCAGTTCTTTCACCGAGAGAGACGAGCCAATGAATGAAATGAAGACAGCAATATAAACACGTTCTGTACATAAGCAAGTGGAAGTCAGTGTACCCGAGGTCTTACTGCAAGATACCTTCAGGTTTACTCGTTAAAAAAGAAAAGGGAAAACATCCAGACCCCACAACAGGACTGACGCCATCACAGCACTTGAAAAGCAAAATTAACCTCAAATATATGAGGAATGCAGATTTTAATGAACGGATTATAGTCAGTGAAAAGGAAAATCGGGAAATAACCAGACCTTGAAAGAACACCTGCAAATTTTCAATCACATGCTGAGGGGTGCCAGCAGACAGACAGAATCAGGTGAGCACTGAGCTGTATGTTTCAAAGAGTGGTCCTTTTTTGCAAGGAAATGTCATTCATATCTAGTTTTATATTTGTAAAATACACAGTTTTGTATTACATGCCAATTGCCTTTGAAAAGATCACCATGAAATATTTCCCATTTTCCCCATGTTTCTGATTATCCTTTGGTTTCTGTTGTTCATTGCAAGAGAATACAAAAAAAATTCCCCTCTAAACAGCTTTCACCCAAGCTGAACTGAAAATTATTCCACTACTTTGACCAACCCACTTGGCTTCTGAACAATTTGTCTCCCCTTTAAAATGAATAAAATGCAGCCTCTACAACTGCTAGGTTAGTAGTCCAGTTTTAATTTACAAAATTACTTAGTATCAGTAGGAAAGTTCTTAAAGCAAATGCTTAAAATTGAAATAGGATTAGCATTTTACTTCAACATAGTCATTTTGCTTTATGCATGTTGGATGAATTGTACACAACTGCTTTGGGGGGGGTTGCACGTAAGTCATCTGTCCCTCTAGAGTACATGACAGTAACCTTATTTTTAAAGCTCATAAATCATTTCAGATAATCTCTCATAAGCCTACCTAACATATTTGTGCATTTGAGAGTGGGAAATAATTAATGGAAACTGTAACAGGAAAGATAAAGGAAATGTACAAAAAAAGATAGAGGCAATAATTCAGTATCTACCTGGTTGTTGTTTGTTCTTTGTTTCTGAACAGGATTTTCACCTACTTTCCTTTGCTTGTGTGACTTCCTTTGGGCTTTGATCCACGTGTTGATCTAATAGTTGGTATTCTCGGTAGAGAAGTGTTCCTTTCATGACCCATTTTGATAATGTTAGATACATTAGAGCAATCACATAAAAGACTAACATAAAGGTAACAGTTTTGTTCCTATTTAGAAAGTAGACACCTTTATTAATTCCATAAGCAAATTATGTTAGCCCATATTTTTTATGCTTCTTAAGTAAGAGGGGTTTGAAGTAGACCTTTTGTCTCCTCAACCAGAGAAATAGCACAGGTTTTGAGTCATAGCTCTCAGGTGATGTAATTGCTTCCCGTCGCCATATTGGAAACTCCTCAAAGGTTATAGGTTCTGTATTTTGATTTGGGTATGTTGATGCTTTGGGTACTGGTGCCTAGCACAGGAAGAGCCTTGTGTTTGCCAGGTATATGCTCTTACATTAGTATTCCCAACTCTTATTGGAGTGGTCGAAAGAAGCTGTTCTGCAGTCTTATAGCAGTCTCCTGTTCCTACTGAATGACCTTGAGAACATTACATAACTTCTCTGTTCCCTAGTTTCTTTTCTGTAATATAAAAGTAGCAAGTAGTACTTCATACATGTTGTATTAAATAATTTCATGACATATGTCAAGTTAAGAGATTACATTACTTTGTGGTCACCACTTATGAACGCTGTATAATTAATACAAGGCTTTATGAATAAGAAATTAGTAATTTCCTTTGTGTAATAACACAATTAACTATGAATCAACATTGCTCTGAACACTTGTCAGTTCAGTAAGGTATGTGTCATTAATTTCATTTTAAGGAGGATAAAACCAATGCTGAAGTGATTTCTCTATGACTTCAAGCTAGCAAGACACCCAGCCACAATTAAAAGCTAAGTCATTATGACTCTAAAACCATTCTAATTTTATTGGGTGTCTTGAAAGATAAATAAATCTCTTAGGCTTTTAAGTTTGACTTCAGTCCAGGTTAGTAATTATTCTCTTCAGCACACTGAAAAATTAACCCTTCCTTAACAATAAGAACTATATATCCAGGAGAATCAAACCTAAGTTATTTAAGTCAGACAGATCTACTTTCCTTGTGTCATAATTGATGTATCTGGATTTAACCTTAGGAACCATCGTCAGTAATGTTAGGGATACCCATCAGGACAAGGTCATTCCTCAGTTTTTATATTAATTTCCTGGTTGCATGTGTTTCTATTGGAATGTGATAAATAGCATAACGTAAATTATTATACTTTTCATATCCTTTACTTTGCCTGGGTTTCTGAGGAACCATGCCAGAAATTAGTGTAAACATTTTGACTCCTGCAGGAAAGTAAGAATTGATTACAACAGGATAAAAAGCAGGAGGTTCTCGGGTCACTGAAACTTATGGCATTAATAGCTCACCTAGCCACTCCATAAGTCAGTAAGAGACTGTTAAAAAAAACATTAGGACATATTTGTGTCATGTGTACGGATGTAGCCCCTTCACCAAGGTTCTATATAGCATGATATAGATAGTGATTTGAGACTTAAAGTAATGTGCTGATGAATGTACATTTGCCTGTGTTAGTTAGCTTTGCCAGCTACAGGCTTCTCTGTTGAACTTAACTGAACATCTTGAGTGTTGAAAAGAGATTCTTGTGAGTTATGTGGCTGGATCGATCCAACTCAGCACCACTGTGGGTGGATGTCTGTGCCCCACAGCCAGTGATCCAGAGCTAACATTTGTTATATCTTTTTCTTGTGTGGTATTTTAAACTCGTACTGTGACTAATTAAAATATCAACTATGGTGGCAAAACAAGACACCTACATGGAAAAGAAAGTGTTACTTCTAAGCTTCTAAGCAGAATTTCAGGATTGATCAACTTTTACATGCACAGTTAAAAAAAATTAAAGTTATGGTTTACATAAAACTTACATGTCTGTCATGTAGCACACCCAAGCAACAACTTTGTACACAGCATATATGACATACAACAATAGTTCGCTCCTTTGAGAACCATAGCTATATTTTCTACATATTGAAATATTTAACATTGTCTACAGAAGTTTCAAGCCCTTTCTACCTCTCAGCTATAAATAGAAGTGATAACCACTCCCTCTAAGAAATGCAAACAATCATGCCCTCTCCAATCTGAAAACTTACAGAAAACACTGGGAAGGAGAGGTGAGAAGTTCTAGACTTGGGAGAAGCTATTTATGTAGGGATTGCATCTTAGAGTGCTTTTTTTCCTTTCTGTTTTGTAATGGGCCCTTTCAACTAAGGAAGATAGAATTACTGGTTTATAGTGTTCCCTGTGTTGTGCTGAAGTGCATGCTCGTGTGTGTGTGTGTGTGTGTGTGTGTGTGTGTGTGTGTGTTTTATACTCCTTCTGTGAGCATATTTATTTTTGAGGAACAATAAATCAGTGGGAATTAAAAGAAGAATGGAAAGCTATACAAAGCCCAAACCTTACTTACAAATTTTAACTTCCTGGCAGAAAATGATCAGTTTAGCGTTTGATAGTAGTATTTGTCATATACTCATTCTCAGCTTGCAAATACAGCCTAATGATTCCAACTTGATAGGTGTACAGATGTTTTTCTTGTGTTTTAGTGGTGCGGTGGTCTAATTTTCTCTTCCAAATTGCAAAAGAAAATTTATTTACAAGAAGAGTATTTTCATGTTCCCCCCTCTTCTTCCTTCCTCCTTTCTCTCTCCATCAGATGCATTCTCCTTGCCCTTCAAAATGTGCACCATCATGTGCTCTCAAAAGGAGGCCTGAGAGAGAGGCTCTACCATTTTCTTGAGTGTTGTATTTTTATCATAACCTTTGTGAAGAATAGGAAGCAACTATGCCCTAGAAGATAGCTAGGATTCTGATCACTAATAATACAGCAGTTGAATGAGCCCCAAATGGTGTTCCATCATATCTGAAGAATGTTATGAATAACTGTTCGGACATTGCTGACAGTGAGGTCCCACCTTCATTTGTGGAAGAAAGCATGAAAGTAAGGGAAATATTTCTCTTCCTGTGAGTTTCTAAGCTGGAACTGTCCCAGTACAAAGTCTCTGGGGAATTTATGGTGAGATCCCCACAAGCTTTTTACTAAGAAAGTTGTCCTCAAACCCATCTTGTCTCTCACCTGGGTGTTTATTGACCCTACTGAATGGCACCCCAGCATCTATCCTTTCCCTTACTTGACTCTTTTCTTAGCGTGGAACCCTCAGAAATCCTTTCTTCTCTTTGGTTTTTGGTTGTTTGGTTGTTTGGTTGTTTAGTCGGTTGGGATTTGTTTTTGTTTTTGCCTTTTTGTTGTTGTTTGTTTTTTGCGGGGTTTTGGGGGGGTATTTGTTGGTTGTTTGGGGACATGGTTAGCCCAGAATTCACTTTGTATACCAAATGCATCTTGAACTCATAGCAGTCTTCCCATATAAACCATACAGTAACCTGCACTACCCTGCCTAGTTCCCTAACTTTTCTGACCTTATTTACCCTCCTGACACTTGAACCATTGTGCTCCTCTTGCTCTTTTTAAAATGTGGAAGTCATCTCCACCTTGCAGGGTTTGTGCAGACTGTTCCTTCTGCATAATATGCTCCAGCATTCAAACAACATCCGTATGGCTCAGTCCATCACCTCCTTGATGTGTTACCTTCTCATCACAATCTTCCCTTACCAATCTGCCTTCCACTGCAGACCTACTTGCTTTTTCTCTGTCTAATCATCCTTCTAACATAGTATAAATTTGTCTGTTAGAGTTATTATTTTCTTTTTCCTTCCTTGAGGCCATGAACTGGATTAGTACTTGAAATATTGTGTTCAATAGGTATTTATTGTAGGAAAACATTGGGTTTCTTGCATCATTTTCATTGCTATTGGGCTCAGACTCCTCACCATGCTCTTATGGATAAAATTCCTGCAGTTCTGTCCTCTGGAAAGGCTTCCACTTAGTGTAACGTACTTCAGATTCCTACAACAAGCTCTGTGCTTTTGTAAGGATGGAACCCCTTAATATAAATAACTTAACTATTGGTGTCATCAAGGATGCTTAGAACTTAGGATGTTTCCCAGAGACCATGGATCCTACAGAGCAGCTAGTAGTATACTTCTTATAAATAGTAGTCCTCCTCATATATTTGTACATAGACTTATTGGCCCAGATGGTACAGAAAATCCCAACAAACAAATGATTCCCCAGGGGACTTAATCTTTCTATTAAACAAAGATACTGCCATGATTTTAGGTAACATGACAGATGTATTCCCCTTTGCAGGGAATGTGATTCTTCTGATTTGAATAGAAATATTTCTGTTCTCCTTTTGAATTGTCTCCAATCCTAGGCAAACCAGACCAGTGGATGAAGTAGATGTTTATTCTGCACATCCAGGTGTCAGTTTTCTTGCTAAATGTGTCAGCAAATTAAAATCAGCATATATGTTTGGGCTTCCATATGTAGGCCAACAGAAGTTAGAAACTTCTTTCAGCAGTTTATCAAATAAGCCTATACAGGACCAAATACTTTATCTGAAAGTATCTTGTAGGTACTCTTAAAGAGATGACATAAAAAGTAGACATGAATACTTTAATTTCTTATTTTTTCATGCTTTTAATTTTTTATAGTGTGTCTATTTGTGGGTGGCTGAGTGGGTGTGCCGCACAATACAAATGTGGAGGTCACAAGAAACTAACATTCAGGAGTTAGTTCTCTCTTTCCACTGTGTGGGTTGCAAGAATCCAACTCCAGTCTTCAGGCTTGGTGGCAAGTTCCTTCACCCACTAAACCTTCTTGCTAGTGCCCATAGGTCAGATTTCTAAATGGCCATGTTTACTGGGTATACTAAAGACGGATATTTTCTTCAAATAAAAACTGAAGTTTAATTGCTGTATTTCTAGAGTCTACAGACCTTTTAGCTGTGAGCATTTTTTCTGATTTGAGAAGAGCAGTTTATTATGATGTGGTAAAATTTAAATATTTTACTTAATATTTAGATCTGTGGGTTTTAGATATTTAATAGTAGTAGACTTTTATCCCTCATTTATTCAAATGTCGTATTGATTAAGTCTCACAGGCTCATTTTACCTTGAATTTCTTGGGTTTTTTGACAATACCCATATCTTTCATATTGCTAACTTTAAGTATTGTTGTGTTTAAACCATTCATTACTTGCCAAGACTTCAATCAGAAAACTATACATAACAGAGAAAAATTCCAGTCTTTGGGTTTATTCATTACCATTTAGCTGATAGAAATGTAAAGCTTACTGGTAATGTGGTCAATTTTAAGTCTTTTAATAGATGTCAAAGTACAGACTCATCGTGAGAACAAGGGTCTCATAAATCTACATATTTTAGAATAACTTCAGCCGTCTTATCACATACTCTGTGTTCAGTGGACTGAGTCTACATTTCTTTCATTTTGAACTTGATAGAATTATGAGTTGCGTCTTTGCAAATGAATAATTATTAAACTTTGACCATTCTTGTTCCCTTTTGAGCAAGTGTCTCTAATTATAGGTCATCATTTTCTTCAATACCTCCTGTCTCCTTTATAGAATTTGTTTTGATTATGTCTATTCATTTCTTTTCAGGACATGTCTTATCAACTAACATAAGCATCCTTATTACTATACAGATATTACCTTTTTGTTTCTATAGAATTACAACATTATTTACAATTATAACTTATTAAAATGCTGTATGATACGTGTATATGTATACATGTGTGCACACATCTTGACTGATATGTGTTGGTGTGAGTGCATGTGTATGTATGTATGCAGGTGTGTGTGCACAAGTCTATAGAAAGCAGAGATCAGCCTAGGGTGTCATTTCTCAGGTGCTGTCCACTTTGTATTTTAAACAGCATTTCTTATTTGCCTGGGACTTACCAAGCAGGATAGACTGGCAGGCCAGTCAGCCCCAGGATCTTCACCTGTCTCCACCTCCCCAGGATGGCTTTACAAGCACATGTCACCATGCCCTGCCTTTTTACATGGTCTTGGTGCTCGAATTCAGGTCCTCATGCTTGTGCAGCGAGTTTTTTACCTACTGAGTCATCCTCCCAGCCTCATGCTACATTTTTCTTATCAGTAATTTCAAAGGCCTTCACAGCAAGTAGTGGACACGTAAGATTTAAAATGTGAAAGCCAGTCACTTTTACTGAGTTGTAACAGTATCAAAACAAGTGAAACTTAACAGAACCATCTCAAGACAAGTAGGCTGAAGGCTCACCAAGCAAAGAATAAGGACTTAGGTTCTAAAATAGAGCCCAGATCATTCATGTCATTGGTGTTTTCTTTCTAATGGCAATTAACAGTTAAACCACTGGCATTTTCATAATGAAAACTAAGCTTATTTTGAATATGCACTTACTTTTTTCCTCAAGAGAAACAGTGTAAGGAAAGTGTTGACCATTTGACCAAGAGCAATCCAAGAAAAATGTTTCCAAAGATGATTGGCCAGCTCACAGTAGACCTCTGGTATGTTGCTTGATGAGTGAATAATCCTCCTATTAAAAAAATGCAGTTTAATTCCAGATCCTCATCTTTTGGTATTTACCCAAGGTTCGGTGACATCTGCTAAAGCCAGGAGTGTATGTGAGGAACAGTCTTTCCATGGGTCTGATACATAGTGTTCACACATTCAATCTAGATGTAGTAGTCTCTGTTTGTGTCTTGGTGAGTTTCCTTTGTATTATAGACTAAGCAATATTTTGACTACATCACCTTAATTTTAATATATCCTTTATTATTCACTAAACATACCTATAATGAGGACCCAAAATGTGTCAGACACTGTGCAAAGTGGTCAGGACTTACCTTTGTAATACATAAGTCTCTACTGTGTGCCACAGTCCATTCTAGCAATTTTTACAAATTGCTGTCTGTATTTCTAAGAGTTTTTCCAGTGGGAAGAGAGGAAGGTCACCAAACCTGTAGCCTTTATTTCTTGGTCCTCCACAACCTCTGATAGAGTAGTTTTTGTTGTCTTAATTCTTTAAAGATAACTGTGCAGACTCATATTTTTAAGGATCATTAGATTTGTAATGAAAAGGGGTTAGGCCCTAGCACTCACACGACTTTCTCCCCACTCCTCTTCCCTTCCTTTCCCCTTGTCTCCTTCTCCCTCTCCCAGATCCTCACCCCTACTCCTCTTCGTATAGCACCTCTCTAAGGACAGAAAGTCTGTTCACTTCAGAGAGTTCTCATTTCATCTTACCACAGGAGGAGCTATAAGCAGAAATTATTGAGAAGATAATACACTTTTCTAAAAGTCACTGTAAACCTGCCAGATGGCCTTGAGGATAAGTGTAAATTCTCTTTCTCAAAGCATGCTATCCTAGTGACTTGAATTAATTGGACTAATGGGTCATTATTAATTGAAAAATTATAACCAGCATAATCTGAAACTTTCTAATATGCAAATAGAAGTCATTCAAAATATAGTTTACAGTATTTAAAAGCAAGAAATTTTTTAACTTTACAGGTTACAATAAGAAAACCTAAAGTTAAAAAAATCAATGAATGCAACTTTTCTATTAACATAAATTCTGTTATTTCAAATGCTAAATATACTGTAAATTATTGAGTCTTCTCTATCCAACAGGTCCCTCAAGAGCCCCACATAAGGAACTGCAGAGTGACCCTAGCCAGAAGGATGCTCAGTTTTAAACTGCTTGGATGAGAGTGCACTCGCCACTACATGTTTTTGTTTCGGTTAATATTCAGAGATACATCTCTGACAAATGCTTCATATGGAGGAAAGAACTCAAAGCTGGAGGGCGCTCTTCAGATTATAAGTGGTTACAAATGATATCGAGCAGGAGAGAAAGAGCAACATTAAGAATAAAAAAATTAAATGTTAAGGTATCATATCATTTCAACCTGTTGACATTCTGGTGGAGTCAAGTCACCCAAAAACTACAATCAGTGTCACAGATAAAGAAAGCCTCCTGTGTGTTTCTAACCAGTCAACTATTGCTGTTTTATTTCTATCATTTAACTATTGGACTGTATTTAGTTGTGGAACATGTTCATGTAGTCTATGTTCTGGGTTAGGTTTAACTTTATCTGTGAGGGTGTGATTATACCAAAGGCTTCCATTGGTAGACTAGCCCATTCACCCAAATAAGTGAAGTCAACACTGTGCCCAGATGAATGGTATTAAAGACAGACTTGCCTAAAAGAAATGTGCCTTGCTTGATGAAACATTCTTTTATTTTTTGATTCAAAATGATAGATTAACAAATTAGATTTTAGGTAGGTTTTAGTTTACCTTAATTTTACAAAAAAATGTATTAGTACTTATTCTGTTTAAGTTGTCTGTGTTAACTAAAATTATAATATTTAGTTATACGTAGGTGGTTCATATATATCAAATTCTATTTTATTTTCACAGAATGTTTGGTACGGTGAGACAAAGTACATTCTTAAAGATATATATATACATATATATATCATCTGATGTTTATAGCTTTTCCTTCAAAATTATATGTGTATGAGATTCTTTGACTCATTTTCTATTTTTATATTCTTTTAGAATGGAACTCTTTTTCAACTAAAAAGAGCAAATTTTTAGTTGAAAAAAAGACTTGGGAGGTCATAAAGATGGCATCCCATTTGGGAACATCTAACTTCTGTGCCATTATTGTATTTACTGTGACATCTCAGCAGAATGGTAGCTATTTGTAGATTATTTCCTAAGCCTTATGGAAAGTCAAACTGTGAACATTTAGTATGTACACTGCTTTATTCATTTCCATAGTTTATCAAAATATGCCTGAACAAGTACATTAAAAATGAATATTTTCAGAACTTTAATTACAATAAAGTATATCAGTCTCAAAGCCAGGATTATAAGCTTTCTGATGACCTAAAAAATTCAAAAGATGAATTTCATTAATCTATAAGAATCTTAACTAAATAGCCATTTACCCAGTAGCTCCCAACTAGGTAGAAATACAATCCAGGTAACTTTCTTTGAGGCAATGTCTAAAATGAATTTTTAATAATCTCCTGGTAATTTCTTCATGATCAAAACATGGAGACCATATCACTACCATTTTAGTGAAGATAAAGAGATGACAACTACCTTTAGTTTGAGTGATGTGAGCCTCCAATAGAGATGGTTGTGACTAAAGTGAAAATATAGCCACCACCTTGTTTTTGTTAGTGTTCACTCATGTAGTCGAGATAATGGCACAGGGAATAATGAGCACTTTGCAATCATCTGAATCCTCTTAACTGATGGTCACAGCCCCTTTAACAGTAAAACAATTCTGGTGGATGGAAACATCTTAATTGTTCAGATGTAAGTATCAGTAGGTGTTGCAAAATTATACAAGGACTACCTTCATACAGTGACACAACTTTAAGCAATGTAATATATGTAATAGTATATCTGTTTTATGATTATAAGTTACAGTTCGAATAAAGACAAAACCTGGACTTTTACCCTCACACACACCAAAGAAAAGCACAGAACTGTAACAGATGCATAACATACCAAAACATTCACATGATGAGTGGTAAAAATAGCACGATCTTAGATAACAGGATACTGGCATTCTTACCCACTGCCTACCTCTGGGACCCCAGGTAAATCATCACCATTGCTAGGCTTTAGTTTTCTTGAATTGTAGAGTGGGCATGCCAGGCTCAGCAAACTTAAAAGCCCTTTCCAGCTACTAAATCCTGTTATACACGTTTCTTTAAAACACTTTGAAGAGTACTTATGTACTAGGATTTTTATGCATTTCTAAAGAATAAAATGAAATAAGATTTAAGCCTTGAAAGTTTCATGAATATATCTCATTCTTCAAATTGTGAGAAGAGGAAATAGGATTCCTTCTCCTTTAAGATTTCACTCATCTATAACAGGATCATGAAAAATGAAGTGGGGGTGGGGCATCCCTCTGCAGAAGGGAAGCAGATTAATAAAATAGCTGACAAGATGGGCAGGTATTGGTAACATTAATTGGATGCTAATGTGATTTGCACAGAGGGCGTGAAACGCTGAAATGGTCCCAGAACTTTATTGCACATTATGAGACTAATGGTAGGAAATGGATGGGGAAAGACTGGAGAACAGAAGTGTTTGCCTTATTGTAGTTTATTCTTTTTACTCTGGGAGCTTAGATGGGGATCTGCCTTGCAGTGCTAGATCTGCCAATCACATGTTTGCCCTGGGAAACTCCCTTTAACTTCTCAGAACTCCAGTTTCTTAATTTGTAAAGTAAGGGTTTAAATTTGAATTTAGTAATCTGCATATTTCTTTTCATCTCTTAATATTCTGTAGCATTTCAGATTCTTAAAATATATGCATACATGCATATGCATATATTGATTCCCTCCATCAGTCACTATGATGCCACATAGTTCTCAAGTACTTGAATAGATTATGAACTCAAACATGTATGTTCCTAATACTGCTCTTTGACCTCCACAAGACCTAAAATACTTAGACCTCATTCTCATTCAGATGTGGCTGAATTATTGAAATCTTTCATTTCATCTTTTAATGTTGAGTGCATTACCTAAACAAATGCCTTCTCAAGTTACTCTCCATAGCTTGTTGTAATTTAATAATCAAATAAATATATTGGCATACAAATGGACTATAGCTGACTGTAAGATACAATTTTGTCACATTTAAATGCCCTTTTGGTCCTAGAAGCTATAACTATAATATAAAAGAACATTCATAAAATTTTGTGAATTTTTTAATACAAAGGAGGCCCGATGGAGTCATACTGTAATTAGTTTTGCTCAGGAGTGAGAAAAACATTCAGGGATAACCCAAACACTTCTGTTTGGAATTAGTGGACAATTGGTGAAAGAAGGGTTATATCGTTTGCACAACAAAGATAACAGGTGATGATACCCATGAAAATGGGAGTATTTTCTTGTGGCTGGCTTTAGTATAGGAAGAGATAGGTTAGATGAATGACAGAATCGGACACTAGAAAAGTTATTAAAATGGTAGCAGTCCATCGAATAACAGAACTATTTTGTCATACTGAGATTATTTGTCCAGAAAGTTAGTCTTATATCCCTTCCATTCAGAAAAGGGGGCAAATGCCTCTATCATAATAGGAAATGTATATTTTAACTAGTGGAGCAATTAACTAAAGCATTTAATCTGATGATTTTAGTTTTGTGTATCTGAATTTTCATCTTAGGTGTAATTTAGTCTCTTGCATATGTGATATTGTCTGTGATCGTGAGGAATGATTTCATCACTTTTGTTTTTCTTTTAAGTTGATAAAATGTGCTAAGTGGTGATTCCTACATACTGTGTTAGTACTGTATCCTACAACCACTTGTGAACTGACCACATTAAGCAAACCATAGTGTTTCTCTTCTAGTAAATTGTTTCTATGGTGTGATTGTTTCATGCTGGGGTTGGGGGTGGGGAAGGTTAAATATTTAGTTTACTTAATATGTCAAGGTGTTTTTCTTAAATGCCATAAAATTGTGTGACAATAAACCAAATAGAATATCCTCTTTTTGAGATGTGAGAGAAATGTATAGACTACTTTGGGGACTAGCCCATAAATGCTGTCATTTGTGTTTTTAAAAAGCTTATATATTATGTATGTAACATACAATATATACCATATACAAAAGAAAGCAAACAGTGTATGTAGTGTTTCTTAGAGTCTACATGTGTTTATTTACATAGAATACTTATGCATTGCAAAGACCATTAACATAGTCTATTTAATTTCTAAACACTGTCCACATGAATTACTAACCCCACCTGGAGTTTAGAGATAGAACAGTTAAGGTTTTAAAGAATAAAGTGACTTATCATAGATCATGTGCCCATACGTGGCTCTAAATGTTATTCTCTTTTACACTTTTCATGCTGGCATGGTGTATGTTCTCTATCACTGCCATTCTAATTCAAACTGAAACTTCAAAAGATGTGTTGATATTTCAAAGTTTTAGTGAAAAGGAGTCACTGGTATTGTGTTAGACCATCTTAGATAACTTCCAAACTGCATCTACCTACATGAAATACCCAAAGATTTTAATATTTAATATTTTAATATGAAGTCCCTGCACCCAAATCATACACCCATTCATTCATTCATTTAATGGCATCATGCAAAATGGTCTTCATCTATCTTTCACTTGCTTTGTTAAAAGCCCATCATAACAATTAATTTCTGAACAGTTTTTTTATAAAGCAACTAGAGAAAATGCAGCCATTCTGATTCAATGGCATAGCAGTCATTTTTTTAGCCTTTTGTTTTTATATGAGTGGAAGAAGACAGAAGGAGGAGGGAGTGTATATTTTAAGAAAACTCTTCATTTCCAGTAACTATATGGAAATACTGGTTATCATGCCATAGGTAGCAGTTTGTTAACGTCAGCCATAGTTCAAATCCTGGTAAGCTCTTCACTCATTTAATAGTGTACTTAAGGATTTCCCCAAGTTACTTTACAGCTTAATGACACCTCAGTTTGAATATGAAGAACAGTCATGTTGCAATCCATGACAGATACTACATTTTTGTTCTCAAACACCAGGCTGCCGCTAGTACTGCTTTCCCTTGTAAATCAGTAGTCTGTGATATGTTTTGTACTTCCCTGTGCAATGCAGTGTTAACTGTGAATATTTAAGTGAAACATGCTTATTATACTGGCATTTAATATTTCCTAATGTTGACTTCAATTTTCTCCATCAAATAGATAAGTCAATCAGGTATTATTTTGTATGAAATGAAGTAATAATTATTCTCAATAACAATGGTATTCTAACTACAATGTCAAATCAAACATGCATTTTATATTTTTATATTCTTTTTTTGACATTGAGTTAGGTCAATTTACCATGTAGTAACGTAAAGTTAGATTCTTATACCATGTTCTCTGCTTACTGTGAGGCCTTTTGTTAAGTAAATATCTATGAGTTTTGATTGTGTGCTATTTTCTTGTGATGATTGTTTTTTAATTTGTCATTGGACTTGAAGTGTTTATTGCAAATGTTAAAAAACAGAATCCAATAAAACACCTGGAAACGTCCTGTTGCAGTAATAATTCCAAATGACTATTTGTTTCCTTTCTTCATACACCCCCTCCCTCTCTCTTCCTCCCTTCCCTCTGCTTCCCTCCTTCCATTCTTTTATTCCTTTCTTTTGGCAAAAGAAGAAACATCAAAAGCTAAGCTCTTGTCATCAGTTCTAACATCACTTGTCCTCCTTCACAGCAAAGGTTTCTAACATTCCCTAGATGTTACTCCATTGCTCCTGTCGTTCAGTTCCAGAATACCAATAAAGTCTCAAGAACAATAAATAATTAACAAGAATGCTGCACCTGTATACCTTATTTCAGTCATAGAGTAAATTATGACAGTAATTTATTTACAAAGAGTGATCACATTCATTTATGTACTGCCCGGTTCAAAACACTGTGGAGGCATTATGGTCAGTGTGTAGATGACCCTATTTTTATCAGATGGATTATAGATACTCAGAAATTCCAAAGTTTGTATATTAGGAGAGTAATTATTTCTATCCAGAACAGTGAGATATTCAGGACATTTTATTTTCACTGCAGTCTCTCTATATCTTTAGTGTTTTGTTTTGTGTGGTGTTGTTTTTACATTATTACAGAGTCTAACATCCAGCAAGCAATCATTTGTGCCCAGCAATGTTGGTCTGTTAAGAGAAGCTTTTTCTTTTGCTAGCCGCTTTGGTTTATCCCCCGCCAGTCGCCTGGGCTCTGCCGCGCCAGCCTGGTTCTAGATCCGCATGAGTCCCAAATAAACACACAGGAGGCTATATTAATTATGAAGCTGTTGGCCTTGTTTGTCTCTTACTGGCTAGCTCTGCCTTAAGTAATTACCCCATAATTGTTAATCTAAGTATGTTTCTTACCGGAGAATAGTTCCCGGCGTCCTACCCCCATGGCGTCACATGTTGACTCTCTTGTGTTTTCCCCTTCCCAGAATCCTCCTCGACTCCTAGTCCCTCCTATCTAGGTTTTCTAGTGGCCAGACAGTACTTTATTGACAAATGCACAGGCAAATAACAGGACTTCCCCAACATCTCCTCTTTTCTGTTTAAACAAAAGAAAGGTCTTAATTTTAACATAGGCAAATTGTATATGACAGAACAGTTATCAAGTAAGAACATAGTTACAATATTTTAGCAAGATTTAAAGGAAATATCATCCATCCCATTCTTGTGAGTCCAAAGTCCTATATGTAGCTTATCTTTTATCATAACTAAGGAAAACTATAATTATAACTATCTGTCTTCAACTCCATCAAAGACCACAGAAGGATAATATATAAACACTAGGATTGACAGAGATATCTTACTGCCTGGACAGTCACCCGAAGTTCCTCTGTAGCGTTGGGGCATCCATCTTCAGCCCATAGGCCACAATGTGTCTGGAACACTTCTCAGCAAAGCAGGAAATTTCAAACTGTCCATCTGCGTTGGCAGTCTGTCAGTCATTTTTCTTTGTCCTGCAGAAAGTCTCGTAGACTCTTCATCAAGCAGGAACCCTGTAAGACTCAGTTCAGCAGTCACTTTCCTGTGGGTCCTGCATGTCCAGATTATACAACAACAGTCAAACAATCTAGGCAAGAGCAGTTTCTTGCCCAAATGGCTAATCTTGCCATGTTGAAAGCAAACTTTATAACTGTATAAGTCCATATTTTCGGGGTCTGTAAGACTGCATCATCTTCGCTGTTTCAATTGTTGGAACATCTGGTCCACTGCTTCTGGGGGTCTTGGTTCGTCAAACCACAAAAGCCTGGAAGGAATCCTTAGCTTTTCATTTTCTGTAGAAACATAAATAAAAACTCCTTTTCCAAGTAACATATCCTTACACTTAAATTTTGAAGTCAAGGCATTTTTAAAAGATAGAAGTTGGATTAATTCAGCAGCATTTATAATCAAGTGTACTTTAGCATTTGTTCCTTCCTTAGCAATCAAAAAACTGAAAAACACAATAGCGTACAGTATCCAGACTCTCTGTGTATTTTCCATCTTTACGTGGCTTATTTATTTATCTAATATTACTTTATTTCTTTCACTTTTATTTATTTTTCTCTGAGACAGGGTTTCTCTGTGGAAACCTGCCTGCCTCTGCCTCTGGAGCAATCCTACCGGCGTGTGCCACCACACCCGGCTTTTGTATTTATTTACCACTTTGCCGTTTCATTTTCTCTCTCAATCTCACGTATATTTTTAAACACACTGTAAACCTTTAGAGGTTTTGTTCATCCAAGTCTGACTTTACTGTAAATCTTTACGTTTTTCTGGCCACGTGTCTTATCTGTAAAACCGTGGCTGTTTTAAACTGCTGGTTTTTTTTTTCCAAGATGGCGGGCGTAAGCGTGATTCGAGCTTACTGCCTCAATCCATGTTGACATCCAGCAAAAGCTGCCACTTCCAGCTGTATGTACACACCTTTCAATCGTTAGCAGAGTCTCTTAAAACAACCTTGCTGGCTTTTTTTTTTTTTTTTTTAATGCCGAGTCAGGAAGACTCCGGTAAGCGAGCCATGTGAATCTCGGCTTGTCGCTAGCAAAACACCTGAGAAAAATGCTGCTATCAAAAATCTGTGCTTCTCTCCGTTCTTCTGTTTCTAAAATTCCTTTAAAGCTTTTGTTGTTTTGCGTGGAAATTCAATCCCACTCCTGATCACCATTTTGTTAAGAGAAGCTTTTTCTTTTGCTAGCCGCTTTGGTTTATCCCCCCGCCAGTCGCCTGGGCTCTGCCGCGCCAGCCTGGTTCTAGATCCGCATGAGTCCCAAATAAACACACAGGAGGCTATATTAATTATGAAGCTGTTGGCCTTGTTTGTCTCTTACTGGCTAGCTCTGCCTTAAGTAATTACCCCATAATTGTTAATCTAAGTATGTTTCTTACCGGAGAATAGTTCCCGGCGTCCTACCCCCATGGCGTCACATGTTGACTCTCTTGTGTTTTCCCCTTCCCAGAATCCTCCTCGACTCCTAGTCCCTCCTATCTAGGTTTTCTAGTGGCCAGACAGTACTTTATTGACAAATGCACAGGCAAATAACAGGACTTCCCCAACATTGGTCTTCATTCTTTTTCTAGCAGCAGCTCCTCCCAGGTGTTCATGCTTTTGGAATGTCAGCAAAGGTGTCATCATCAAAACTCTCTAGTTTCCATCTGGAATTTTACTTTATCTAAAACAGACAAAAGCAGGGGGATATATAAACAGCCTCACATGTATGATGATTGACTGTGAAGAAGAGAACAAAGGATTTATTTCTAAGCATCCATTTTCTATAAGAAATAACTTTGTTTTAAGCATTCTGGCTGTACAATTCTAATGGCCAACTCCATGAGCCACCATTTGTTTAATTATAGAGAACAAAAATTTTCAAGCTGTATCCAAGGAATTATAGGTAGACTATGAACTAAAATAATCCACATATTTTGGACTTCAACATTGAAAAGAGCACATAAATGGCACTGGGCAACGTAGGGCCACTAAACATCTTCTAGTTTTCTGGGCCTAGTTTTATCAGTCCTGTGCCTTTCTCCACTTTAAGTTGACTAGTTAGAGGTTTCACTAGTCACAGCCAAAAGGAGGCTACTTAATTTGTTTTAAAATTGTCCCTTTTTTTGTGAGTTCGAGGCCGGGCTGGACCGATAGCCTCCAAAACAAATACAGAGAAACCCTGTCTCGTATAAAACCAAAAAATATTGTCCCTTTTTGTTCACTCTAAGTGATACCTGGCTTGAATCATGAAAGAAGTCTATCATGGAAACCAAAGAGCCAGACTAAAACCAGATGCCAATATTCTGTTAAAATTTAAAGTCAATGAAGTTTGGAGCAGGGGTTTGTTGTTGTTTCCACTTGTTTTAAATGAAGTAAGAGAAAGAGAAAAGTAAATAATCCATAGCTCTTATTTCAAAACCCATAATTGATAAGAAAGCTAGCAGGTGACGGTCTATGCCTCATCCCGTTTGGCATAAGAAATGCTTTGTACGTGAAGATGCAGAGTACATGGGTTCATGGGTACTACCATTTACTCTTAAGTGTCAGGTATCACTTGTGTAATCTAAACCCACTATACTAACCATAGAAAGAGGTGACTATTTCCATATAAACTGAATCTACAAAAAATCAAAAACTAGGTGGCATCGCAGAGATACTGACTAGAATAAGGAAGTTGTACCATAATAATAACATTTTTGAGAGCTTAGTTTTAAATATTTCTATAGGGAAGCTTAGGAGCCAGATAGAAAAAAATGACTGTGTTATCTTTGTATTTGTGACAATGAAGATGGGAATAATTGGGAGAGAGAAATGGCATTCATAAATGTGGAAGCAATTTTGAGACAGAATTAATTTTGCCTTATAATTTCTGAAGGCAGTTTATAAGAGTGTTAGAATGTTATGTGTCCTACTCTCAAGAAAGTAATGAATTTGTGATTTTAATCTTCTTGTCCCTCTGGGCATATTATGCCAGCAAGAATGCTATGCACTGTCAGGCTAAGCCATCAGCATGTGTTGTAGCCAAGAAAACCTAGCAAACAGTCCTCCAAAACCACGTTTTATGCGTTACATAGTTAGGCTAGGTTAGAGAGCCCTTCTGGACACACCTCATAGTTAGTTACTCCACATACTCAGAATGGCTGAGTGTGTATTAATGGGACCTGCTGCTATCCTGTGATTTCCAATAAATATTCTTTAAACACGCACACACTACAGACGTGTAAGCAATCTGTAAGACACCAGAATAGGTAGAGATCGTGACATAATGTAATTTTTCCATCTCCATTGCCACAAATCAGTCATCCCACTATGTCTGATTTTTGTCTCCACCTCTTCACTGAACATTTCCTCCAGACTACACTCCTTGTCATACTTCAGCTCTCGGCCTCCCCAGATCTCTGTAGAACTGACACTATTGAGTGGCACCTCCTTCCTTCTAGGTTTTTGACACTTCGTCTCTTTCCATCTCTTCTCGGGCACTTTTTTATTTATCTTCCTCTTACATGCTGCTGCTCCCCAAGGGTCTGATCCTTTCA